TTCGCGCGTCGCGTGGGGCATTGTTTAACAATCATCGGGCGCGTGCAGCGTGGAACGCGTTAATTTGTACTTGGATGGGGAGGAGTCGATTGGTAAATACGGGAAAGACGGGAGCGTGGTGGTGGTCGGCTGCGAGAGGTGGAGTTTGGGAAACGCTGCGGAGTTAATAGTGTTGTTGTAGGAGTTAATAGCGTTGTTGTAGGAGTTAATAGTGTTGTAGGAGTTAATAGTGTTGTTGTAGGAGTTAATTGTTGCGTCGTAGGAGTGAATAGTGTCATAGGAGTTAATAGTGTTGTTGTAGGAGTTAATAGTAGTGTCGTAGGAATGAATAGTAGTGTCGTAGGAATGAATAGTAGTGTCGTTGGAATGAATAGTGTTGTCGTAGGCGTTAATAGTTGTGTCGTAGGCGTGAATAGTTGTGTCGTAGGAGTTAATAGTGTTGTCGTAGGAGTGAATAGTTGTATTGTAGGAGTTAATAGTGTTGTTGTAATCGATGCTTCTCGTCCCATCGCTGCAGTGGTTCTCAAAACTTGTTTTGGCTCGCAGACCGTTCAGCCGATGCGAACATTCCCGCTCACCCCACAGACCCTGCATCCTAACCCCTGGTGGCAAAACCAATTCACGTATCACTCTAAACATGCCGGCAATACGAAATGATTCATATTACCGAAACATAAAAACAAAATTCCGCAGTTGTAAGGATTTCAAGGGGGACATTTAGATCTTAGGGTTAGTAGGGTAATGTTTTCAGGGTAATTTACCTAAGTTCATTTTTTAAATGAAATCTCATGAGTAAAATATAAACTCGCGTCCTAAACAATAGGTATAAACGTTGTAATTGTTTGCGGATCAACCTACCGGACATCTGCGACCTATTGGAAATCTGTGAAAAAGAGCTTCATAGCTCATCGGATTCCTCCAGTGTAAAATAAATATTCCGTTCCTGTTTCTGAAACTGCATTTGAATCACAGCCACCCCCCCCCCCCGCGGAGCACATGGGAGAGCATCCTAGACCAGCGGCGGAGTGGAGACCACACTTTGGTCCCCCGGATCATCACTTTGAGAACTACGGAAACTCTCGACATCAGTGGCTATCAAAAGTGGTGGTCCACCGGAACAAAAGTGATGGTCCAATGGACCCTATTGGCTCTCAATAGCAAAACAACAAATTTATAATGCTAAAAAAAACATATAGGTTTGATGAAACAAAATAAGTTGTACTTACGGGCCCGTGCTTGATTTGTGTTTTCGATTATTTACCTTCTAAAAAAAAAATCTGGCCATGTCTTGCGCACCCCCCCCCCCCCCCCCCCCCCCCCCCAGAAAGGGCATCTCGCAACCCCCAGGGGATGCGCGCACCCCCAGGTTAAGAACCACAGGTCTAGAGTGACCGCAAGTTGCGGTCCGTGTGGCGAACATGAGCTCGGGCAGCAGGGGGCACGCGAGCCGAACGGACCTCGCAGAATGTCGCTCGTCAGATAAAAAAAAACGACAACCAACACGGCCGTCAAAGCCGCTGCGTGGCCGGCCAGATACGAGAGAGAGAGAGAGAAAAACAATCAGAAATGTCACGTGTGAATGCTGAACTTCTTTCGCACCGTACGTAGCCAACCGCCTTTTGAAATGTAATGGGCGACGTTTTGGGCAACAGCCCTTCAATAGCAACATAAATGATGAAGGACCATTGTCCGCAACGTCGTCAATCAAATAACAATCCGGCCTTAAAGAAAACAAAAACACATGCTGTACAGTATACTATGGGTTGGGGAAATTCGCCTCGGATCTCCGCCTCGCGGTCTCTCTCGCCGCGCACTCGGGAGCAATTTCCACGTTCTCACGAAGCGCAGAACAACAACTTCGCGGGCATGGGGCTTGCCCTCTGATAAAGCCTTTCCGTAGGAGGGGAAGCTTGGGACGGATGTAACCCCAACGAACGCAAATAAAACAACAAATTGATACACACAGCAGAAGGGGCAGTATTCACCAACAAAAACAATACACGAGGACGCGCGCGACCCAAGCGAGCAACGAGAAGCCGTAATAATTGTTTAAACACGTTTCTTTTCTTTATATATATAAATATATTAAACACGTCTGTGTGTGTGTGTCTGTGTGTGGCCTTCATAGGTGCTACTCGTTAATAGCACGTGCCCCCCCCCCCTTCCCCAGCAGTCTGTTAAGGCTATACGGGGGATCTTTGTCTTTGTTGTGTGTGGTGCTGGGCATCCCCTAGGTCGACTCAGCCTCAAACGAGTAAAGTACTCGGTGTTGTGGTGTGTGAAACATCAGAGCTTGGGAGAAAAAGGTCGGCCGAGCATGGTGTGGCCAGCGCCCTCGTGTGCCATGCCGGCCTCAATAGGTGGAGCTCACCGACACAACACTTGGCCCCCCAACAACAGCTTGAGGCTACACGGGGGGAGGGGGTCTTTGTCTTTGTTTAACTCAGGGACGGGAGTCTCACCTCTCAACTCTAGCCAGGTTAGAGTCCGGGACTCAAAGTACCAGGTGTCTGAAAAAGAAGAATAGGTTTTACCCTTTCCGGCAATAAAACAGGTGTTAAGATTCATAATAAAGGTTTTTTTTGGGTTAGATCGCGTTATTTATAAATGTGTCGTAACCCTCCACCACCCGAGAAGCCGTGTCGGGTGGTGGAGGGTTACGACACATTTATAAATAACGCTATCTAACCCAAAAAAAAACCTTTATTATGAATAATATTGGTCGCGAAAGTCTACGTGTTAAACTGAGGTGTTAAGATGTTCAAACACCAAATACGTACGTAACTTTGGAAGGCAATCAAGTCTGCAGTAGCCACCGAGAGACGAGGCCATTAAGGAAGGCACTCTCTGGTGCAGGCCAATCAGTTTCAAAGGCGATGCGTCCATCATCAGAGCGTGTTTGTTTTGCGTGACCACCATGAGAGCGTGTGGTTGATGCAGACTTGATTGGTCGCAAAACAAAAGTATCTATTTGGCGTATGAACATCTTGACAGCGACGAGCGGCGAACGTGCTACCCCTCGAACGTGACGAGCACTACCGCGCCCCCCTCCCCCCCAGAACCCCCCCCCCCCCCCAAGTACCTCTCGCCTCGGAACGTGTCACTTTGCTGGAAACTTCTGGTCCTAGTGATGCCACTGGCGACCCGAGTTCGATTCCCGCTCACGGCCAACACCCAGTAACGATTATCTGAACCGGTGCTGGGACTCCCCTAGGTCGACTCAGCCTCAAATTAGTACCTGGTGTGATTTGTGATGATCACCACTAGGGAGACAAAGGCGGCCGGGCGTGGTATTGGCCACCCACCCTCTCGTGTGCCGTGCCGGCCTTCATAGGTGCTCGCTAACAGCACTTGCCCCAACAGTCTGTTAAGGCTACACGGGGGATCTTTGTCTTTGCCTATTTGTGTGTCTGTGAAGGCTATACGGGGACCTTTGGCTTGTGTGGTGGGGAGCGCTGGCGCAGCGGTTAGCACACTGCCCTCACTGCCAACGTCAGTGATGGATATCTGAATCGGTGCGGTGTAAAATAAAAACATCGCCACTGGGGATACAAAGGCGGTCGGGCGTGATGCGAGCCAACCACCCCCTCGCGTGCCTTTTCCGGTCTTCACAGGTGCTCGCTGACAGCACTTTCCCCAAACAGACTGTTAAGGCTACACGGGGTATCTTTGTCTTTTTTGGTGATTCAGACGCCCGCCAACTGTTGTGTGTCAAAACACGGAGTCGGGAGGGTTAACAAAGCAGTGGTCGCGAATTTTTTAGGGCTCCTGGCGAATGGAGGGGAATCGGATAATAACGGCGTTTAAACCACGCGTGGTGTTGTGCCGTTGTTGAACGACGTCGGCTGCAATTGACACCCCGAAGAAGCCTCCTCGTTCCCACTGGCCGAGTGCGGTAACGCACTCCACGTGGCCGCGTTGTGCTTTGAGGGTCACGTGAGGCTCCCGTCACTTGTGACGCCATCCGTCATGGTCGTTTGTGGTCTATAACGTCTCACGCGTTCGCGTCGTGATCGTTGTCATCATCGTCGACATGATCGTCATCATCGTCGTCGTCATCATATTGTAGAGCGGAATTCAGTATCATCATCATCATCGTAATTTTCATATCACAATTTACCGGCATACTACCATCATCATCATGATCATTATCCAACCCACCTCACTGTGAACTTAATCGTTTCACGTTCTATTTACAATCGTTAATGAGCCATTTTCCGTCTCACCGAGTCAGTCTCTGTGTGTGTGCGTCCCACACTTCGTGACTTCTGGCAGTTTTGTGAATCAGTTTCCTCTCAACGCAGCCCGTGCGAAGTAACAACTCCGTCCGGTGCCTTGAGCCAACCAGAGTGACCCTGTCCATTCCATCTGTCAGGCGCGCAGCAACCGCTGCCCGCAGTCGAGCGAGTGTCCAGAATCAAAAACAAACCCCCCTCTTGCTCGTTCACCCTTTCGCAGCGCAGTACGTAAAGCGACATTTGTGTTGAACAGGACACGAATGCCGTTACTTACGGAGATTTTTTTTTTTCGTCCTTGTCGACGGCTACGATTCACGCATGCGCATTGCCGTTGATCTACGGATGGGACTGTTCTGCCATGCACCGGAGCAATGTCCAATTTCCACCACTCGCCCACGACACTTCCAGCGAAGATGAGCGTCACCCCCCCCCCCCCCCCGTACCTCCCCAAATATCGCCTCGGCTTAATTCCTCTCGCAGACCAACTCCCGTGTTGCTGGTTGACTGCAGGAGGCAGTGGCACACGTGGCTCGCGGTTAGCCACGGCTCATTGCGAGATGTATGCTTCGATGTGGCATGCCGGGTGTGGACAGAGGCTGCTGGAATCGCGCCCCCCTCGTTCATCCGCGCATGGGGGGGGGGGGGGAAGGGCAGCGGGGAGAGATCGCCGCTCCGACTATTTAACTGGTGGCCGACGCGGAGGAGAGGTCGTCGCTTCTCGGGCGCCCCCACCACCCACACCTCCTCGTCGTCAGCAACCGCCTACTCGGAGGGCGACATGGACCTCAGGAAGACGGCGGAGTCGTTGTTGGGCGGAGACGGCCTCCCGTCGGCCGACGCGTCGTCGGGCGAGTCTTGCTCTCTCAGGGTCAGCCTGAGGCACTCGGCCGCCCCGCTCTGCCCCCCCCCCAGGAAGGGGTAGCCTCGCATGAGCGCGCCGGGGCCCCCCGGACCCAGGGCCCCCCCCACGGTCGCGTAGGGCCCCCGCAGGTGGTGGCTCTGGGCTGCGGCGAGACTGACGCTCCCCCACAGCGCCACGTCCGCTCCGGACGCGCCGAACGGAGCCAGCGACGCGGCCGACAGCGCCGGGCGGAACACGGCCGGAGGCAGCGGATAGCGCAGCTGCTGCTGCTGCTGCTGCTGCGACTGCTGCAGGGGGGGCGGCTGGAGCGACACGGCAAGGTGCGCGGGCGAGGCCCCAACCCCGACGCTTCCCAGGAGGCCGCCGCCTCCGCTGGCCCCGCCGCCGCCGCCGCCGCCGCCGCGCGCCACCGCGGCCGGCTGTAGCCGGAAGGAGCTGGGGGCTCTGAAGGCCGAGCCCATGGACCAGCCCGAGAAGAGCGCCGGGTACCCGGCCAGGGCCCCCCGATCGTTGGGCAGCGCGAAAGCGGCCTTGCCATCCGCGGCGGCCACCGCCGCCGCCGCGTCGTCCCGGGCGCGCCGCATGTCGTAGAGCACCTGGTGGTGCAGGTGGTGGTGGTGGTGAGGTTGGGAAGCGGCGGCGGCGGCGGCCGTGGCGGCCGCCGCCGCGGCCGCCGCGGCCGCGTGCGCGGCGTGCGTCCCCGCGCTCTGGCTGGAGAGCAGCACCTCGATGGCGCTCACGAGGTCGCCGCCGCAGCCCTTGAGGATGAGCTCCAGCACGGCGGGCTTGTGCCCCGGGAAGATCTTGGTCAGCAGCTCCATGGGGGGTCGGTTGGTCTTGGAAGGGGCGGACGTGCCCAGCAGACTTCCGAGCGCGAACTGCTGCTGCTGATGATGATGATGATGCTGCTGCAGGAGCGTTTCGCTGATCGACGCCGCGGCCGTTCGACCTTCCCCGACGCAGGGCGTCTCGGCGCTCGCCGACCTCTCCTTGGGCCCCGACGGCGTGCCGGGGCCCTTGGATTCCGAGACGTCGCTCGACTCGTCGGCAGACGCGAAGCCGTCGCCCGCGCACGGCAGGGAGAGGGCGCGGGCGGTCCCGTGCAGAGCCAACGGGACGGGGGAGTGCCTCGAACCCTTCCGCGAGACCAGCTCGTCCCCGCCATCGCTCGAGTTGCTGTCGTCACTCTTTCGGTCGAAGTCATCTGCGGTTCAGAGCACAGAGGCAATACGAGTGGGGGGTCAAGGTCGTGGCGGGGTCAAGGTCACGGCACGGTGTCAAGGTCACGGCACGTGGGGTCAAGGGCATGGTGGGTCAAGGTCGTGGTGGGTCAAGGTCGTGGCGGGGTCAAGGTCGTGGGGGGGGTCAAGGTCACTGCACTGGGGTCAAGGTCGCGGTGGGTCAAGGTCATGGTGGGTCAAGGTCGTGGCGTGGGTCAAGGACGTGGCACCGTTAGGGTCGTGGCTGGGTTAGGGTCATGGTGGGGTCAATGTCATTGGGGGGTCAAGGTCATGGCGAAGCCGTCGGACGATGAACGAGATCGATGGCATCCCTAGCTGCTCCTGCTTCCTCCACACTCTCTAGAATGTCCTCACATTGGCCATCTGACTATGCATGTTGAACTTCTTTCGCACCGTATGTAGCCAACCACACTAATCAGAAGTGCGTGCAAAGGACAACAAACTAAACACAAACGGCAGTTCTAAATAAATGAGTTTTCAATCTAGATGATTTAAAAGTGCGTAGCTAAAGTGGCTTCCTAATATAGGAAGGAAGAGCGTTCCAGACGGCCGCAGAAGCGCATCTTAAAGTGCGCGCGATGCATTGACTGTCTTTGTTCGATGGTCAACCAAAATCCGCTGCTGCGAGGATGAACGGAATTCGCGTGATGGTTTGTGCTCCTTGATGAGATCGGCACGGTGTTATGGTTCATTTGTGTCGAGCATTTTGCTTGCCTGGCAACGTTCCGGTTCAGATTCAGGAGCCTTTATCGTTGCCTTCGTCTAAAAATTGTCTATTTAATCTCTCTCTCTCTCTCTTTCTCTCACTGTGTGAATTATAACCAGGGAGGAATTTCGGCCGCGTCTGTTCAGCTCGGCCATCTGGAAAGTAATTCTGCACCCAGCACACTACATCCAGTATGCAATGGCTGTGGCTACAGGTCATGTGTCTACCCCAGTCTATCAGTAACTATTTTTTATTTACTTAGTGAGGTGGAGGACTGCCTTAGTTTCTCAGAATATCTGGTGTCACAGGCACATCAGAAACTAAACTAAACTATTTTTTTATTTTACCAGGTAAGCCCCACTGAGCTATAAAGCTCTTTTTCAGAAGGGACCTGGCCACAAATAAAGCTCAAACGAAGTGGCTTATCTCGTGGAAATGTATAGTAGCCAAATAATCTAAACGAATGTTAATTATAAATAGGGAGGGAAAACCCGGAGGACACGGTGAAAAATGCACACGACCACGGGGAGAGAGAACCTGCAAACCCCAAATGTACAACAGACATCAGGGTCGGGATCGAACCCACGACCTCCTGTATACGAGGCGAGGGAGTTAACACCTTGTCACCGCGGCGTAAGAAATAAGTCGGTGATAATACTAATCATGATAACTTTATCATTGTTATCTCTTAGGTCTTTGCATTTATCACTGACCTATTCGTGCCACTGCAATACCTAACCCAACCAAAGTTATTATGAATAATATTGGTCGCGAAGGCCCACGTGTTAAGCTGACCCTGTCACTGTAACCTGCCCCCCTCCTGCACCCTGCACACACAAAGGCGTCTTCGCAATCCCCTCTTCATATTTACATCTACGACACTTTGTAGAAGCCACGTATATGGTCCAAACTTTCAAGTTGCTTACCCTATCACTGCCATGAAATTACGAGCGCCCTCCATAGTCATCTGTACTCGGAGGCCAGACCCCTAAACTTATCTGGGCTCTGTTCAAGGCCACTTTCCCTGGCCCTTTATGATATCCCATGAACCTTAAATTGTACGATTGGCAAGGTTAACCAATTGGGGTAACCTCACAGCCACGGTCAACATGGCGACGTCGTCCTTATAACGCATACGAGGCGTCATTTCAAGGCGATAATTATCTATAGCTTGTAGAAAACATGGATTGTTTATGGAATCAGTCGATGGTATGAAAACGCAATCGAAAAAGAACGAATCGTCACCATCCCAGCGTGGAGGGAAGAGTCAGTTCGTCTTGAGTAAGCCCGATGTCACCGTGCTATTCTACGAGCATTAATCCGTAATCGAGTAAGGTGAACACGTTATTTCTATTTGAATGGCAGTACTAATTGGCCGACGCACTTTGCCCAAGTAACAAGCCACGTCATTATCGTACTGATGATTATCCACAGTTGTGAGCTCTCTGAAATTGAAGTTCGACATCTGCCCAGTCCCTGGTGTGGTGACAATGCATACTCGCGTAACAGTGCTGTCAAATGTGGGGTTGACGGATCACTCGGAGATCATAGTCAAAAATATTTTATCTTCCGCTCAAATGGGCACTGGGGATGTGTTTGTCTCCTGTATATAGCCCTGAGCAATTTGTCTACATTACACATTCTTATGGCGGGGGCGAACTTATCAATAAGACAACCACTATTGACACAATCATAGTGGCTGCGAATCTCAACATAAAGTTATATTAGTTGGCTAGGATATTGCAGTACAGCAAGTAAGCCGCTAACCAATCAATGGGCGGCGACGCATTCCTAGCGGCAGAGGTTCACGGTTCGAATCCAGCTGCCCGCCCTGATCAGTACTTTCCGGGGTGTACTAACTGCAAAAATGCTTGGCGCTATCTGCTTCACTCACAGTTGCGCGTCAAATAACCCCTGACATAATTCGCAAGAGAAGACCCTCTTTAAGACCGCAACAGGAGAATTTCTCCAAAAATCTGGCTGTCGCTTGATGAAGCTAGTTGTAATTACTGGCGAAACGTCGTACTCAGATTGTAAATATTGTGGGTTCACTCTCCAACACAACGGTGTGCTGTACAAGTAACGAATCGGCATGTTTTGTTCACGTAACAAACCCTACGAATTGGCCGTGGCGGGTTTAACGACATATTTATCTAATCCAAAAATAACCTCTAGGAAAATATTTGTCGAGAAATTATACGTGTTAAATTGTCATACTCCACATTTTCCAAAGGAAAATATAAAAACATCCGGGCACTGCATTACTCAATTGGAATATAACACAGCAATCATCCCGCCACTACCACAGGCAATCACTTAAACTATAAAGCACACTTTTCTTTTACCAGGTAAGGCCCACTGAGCTATATAGCTCTTTTCAGAAGCGAGCTGGCCACAGGTGATAGCTCAACGAAGTGGCTTATCGCGTGGAAATGTAGAGCAGCCAAGCACTTGAAACGCACGTTGATTCTGAATGTGGGGGGGGGGGGGGGGGGAACCGGAGGACTCGGAGAAAAATCCACTCGACCCACAGAAAGAGAGACACGCAAACTCCAAATATACAGCAGGTGTCAGGGTCGAGATCGAACCCACGACCTCCTGTGCACCAGGCGAGGAAGTTAACATCTCCTCGCTACCATGGCTCCCTGACATCACCCTCCAGAAAGCGAGCCGTGAGACTCGGTGCGGCTTTCCTTGGTTGCACAAGCGGAATGATACAATTGCGCAGTTGTGAGTGACAACGCCTCGTCGTGGGAGTTTGGCAGGTACATCCGGGCACCCCCCCCCCCCCCCTCCATCACCTCCCGCCGAATGCAAACGCATCCACGAGTAATTGTAATTGGCTTACAAACATCGCAATGCGGGGAGACAACTCCTGGAAAAGCAGCCCCGAGGCTCACTTGTGTCTTTCGCCAACACAGGTGAGACAACCACCCCTACCTACCCCCTTGTCGCGCTCACACAGCGCACCGCAGGTCATGGTGTCAGCGGAGCAATTGTGTCACTCACGTGGGGGTTGAGGGAGGGAAAAAAAATAACAACGCCACACGCACAACAAAGATGAAGATCACCGGTATAGGCTCAACAAACTTTCGCGGCAAGTGCTGTGAGCGAGCAGCACCGATGAAGGCCGGAACGGCACACGAGGGGGGTGGGTGGTCAGCACCACGCACGGCCGCCTTTGTCTCCCCAGTGGCGATGTATTTTACACACCGCACCAGGTACTCATTGAGGCTGAGTCGATCTAGGGGAGGCCCAGCACCGGTTCAGACAACCGTCACTGATGTTGGTCGTGAGCGGTAATCGAACTTGGTTTGCCGGGTTCGTAGTGCAGCGCGCAGACACACACACACACACGTGTTATAGGCACACACGTGTTTGTAGTAATGGGAGTTACGTTGTAACGAGCAGTGGGGGCGAGCAAGCAACACTTTGTCCGGATGCGAAGTGGCGAGTCGTGACACACAATGGATTAAAAGCGGCTCCCACTGTGTACTCTGACGCGGAGGACGACGACGATCGTGATGGATTTCGCGTGTTCCAGTTCGCGGTTGATATTGACACGGAAACTGTGACATGAATGGACGCTTGCGAAACGCGTACTCCCACCCTCCCCATCTCCCGCTCCCCCGGCTGTGTGCGTGTGTGTGTGGTTCCTTCCCAGAAGCACCCTCCTTCAAAAGCAAAGACAAAGGTCTCCTTCCCACACTCCGTTTGGCCTGCACAGAACTGCTGGGGCAAGTGCTGTTAGCGAGCATCTCCTGTACGAAGGCCGAAAAATGCGCATTGGCGGATGGTGTGCTCATCACCAACAGTGCTGATGTTTGCACACTGCACCAGGTACCCATTTAAGGCTGAGTCAACCTAGGGCAGACCCAGCACCGGTTCAGATATTCACTACTACTGGTTGGGTAGTGAGCGGGAATTGAACTCGGGTGGCCGGGTTCGTAGCGGGGCGCGCTAACCGCTACCCGTCGCTCGCTCACTCATTCAAACTCTCGCTCTCCTCCATTCTCTATTCACCCACTTCCCCTACCTCCCTCCCCCATCTCACACCCCGCCACCCATGCACCCCCCTCCACCCAACTTCAGCCTCATTCTTTTTTTTGTTCCTGGCACTTGTCCTGCCAAAGTGTGTAAACACGCGTCGTTTCACGGTGTACGGCTTGGACACAATTTGTTTGGCCGTGAGTTCGTGTGTGTGTGCGTGTGTGGGGAGCGGTGGGGTGGCGGTTAGCGCGCAGCGCTACGAACCTG